AAAAATGTACAATTATTTTTCTAAATATCTCGCATAAAAATTTGTACTAGAATATTGTATTTTGGAACAGATATACTTCATTTAGGCGCGCTCATATGACCTTAGCAGTTGCGAGCGCCGTAAAACCCTACTATACATACATACATACTTCATTTAGAAGGTATTTGTTTGACATAAAATTAACCAAAAAAAAACTTTTTTCGAAAACGGAAATGGCTTTTATAAAATTAAAAAAAACACCTATACATGTAAAATGCACCAATTTGAAAGATCTTGTAAGGAAAATCATGAAATGATTGGTTTGGGTTTTTTTTTTCCTTTCCTTTTATTTTCTAAATCTAATCTGTCCATCCATGTGAACTTTGAACAATATTTCTTTTCTACTAGTTTTTAAAAAAAAAATTTTTTTTAATTCTGGAATTCCGAGAACCAGTGGTCTAAAAGTCCCCTTTGGACTCGACACATTTTAATGGGAATCGGTGAGTACTCAAAGCCACACACACACACTGTACACCTTACAATATGGAGCTGTTTCTAGAGACAATAGGGGGGGGGGGGGGGAGATGAGGTTGCCCAAATAGACAGCATTTGTGGAGTCGATATAACCTGAAAGGTGAATATGGGCTTTGCCAAGGAACCAAATGCCATAGAGGAAATGTTTACGCTTTTCAAGACGATCGAGGAACCATGAACACATTGCTATCCTCTGATGGCTTCGCGAAAAGGAAATGGCACAGTCGTAGATGAAGATCTGCCTTGAGAATAAGGACTGTTGAGATGATGGAAAGTCATTGCTGTAGACATCGTCTACGGACAGATATCACATCTACTAAATTCTGCACCCTGGTGACGTTTAAAGGGGTGCAAACAGTGTGTGTTTGACCTGAAGCGGTCGTTTTGTTCGAGAATTCTATGTTCTGATTCTCTAAAGGTTCTAACTGATGGAGCATTTCCACCCTTGACACCAAAAAAGGTCTTAAGGGCACTTTAACATTATTTCCGTACCTTGTGCAAACTTACGAAATGAGTTGATGTTAAGGAAATGTTCAATACAAAAAGCGCTCTGCTCTTTACTAATCTTAATCATGATTTCAGCAGGCAAAGGCTGTAGTTTGCAATATGGCGCAGTAGCTGGGATTTGTTGTGATAGGCCAAATGTGAACTAGTGTGTCATGCTACAAAAATGGGGACATAGCTGAAAACGGGTTTTTTATTTACGCGCTAAGTAGAGCAAACCTATTCTGTGGATTTATCTAAAAATGAATATCAGACACATTCCTTTTGACTTCCAAACGTTGTGGCCATATTTGAAACGCAAAACTTTTCTGGGGAGGAAAATATTAACAAAAAAAAGTTGTACAGTTTTGTTTGTTTTCTTTTTTGGATCACCCTGTACTTGAGGAAGCGAAAGCCAAATCTGAGGAATACGACAGAAACGGTCTTTAAGTAGGCGGTGTACTTGTGTTCACTTTGTCCACTTTGTATTATGGCATGACAGCCATTTGGTTGCTTCTTTTGTCTTTCTGAAAAGGGCGCTAGTCCCATTCTTCCCAGATTTACTGAAAGAAAGTTGTATCATTTGGGCTATCGTGACATAACATTCAATTTGTCGCCGGAAAAGCAAAAGCCAGTGGGATTTGCAGCACCAAATTGATCGAGCAGACAAATCGGTCGGATCAATATTGAAGAGAGAGATACCCTACTTTAAATGCAAAAGTATTCTTCTAGTCGGAAGTGAGGGATCGGGTCAAACCGGGACGCAGGGCTGATCACAGAACACTTATCAAACGGGAGGATGAACTTAGGACTCGACTTGATTTTGTCCCTCCGACAATTAACGTTCATAGATATGAGCCACAAAAAAGTAGCCTTTATAAAAGTGTACAGCCCCAACAACCTATCGGCACTCCTTTGGTGAAGTGAATAACCATTTAAATTTAAGAGCAGGGGTATCCACAGGTAATTCTATCAGTATGATTGACTAGAAAAGAAGATATACTAAGATATTTTTGTTATAGTGAAATTTCGAAGTCAGGGGAAACATATTCATTTGGTTTGTATTCAACTTGTATTCAACTTGACTTAGCAAAAAACAAGCGCGCTTGGTTTGGAGCGACTGGATCATGTTGGGCCGAAATGGCATCACTATAGGGAAATGTGCCCCTGTTCGGCATATCAAACTAAATCTGGGACGTCACAATAGTGTACATCCCACTTTCTCATCGCGAAACAAAACAAAAGGGCAAAGAGCAGCAAGACAGACAGACAGACAGACAGACAAACAGACAGATAGAGAGAGTGGGGGGTCGAGTAAGACAATGTGTGTGTGTGTGT